AAGTATTTTATTAAAAATGAGTTTGATTTACAGAGCTTTAAGCAAATGTCACTCAGTTATGCTTTAATTGACATTTAATAATTATTTTTTTATTCAATTACTCGAATTTTAGGTGCGTTATATAAAAATGTTCCCTAATTTGCACGGCATTTTTGTCAGTCTGACTTTTTTTGGCTCTGTTTGTACAGAATGTCTCTCATATACTCATCATTCATTCTCTTCCCATTGGCTGGCTGTTTCATCATCACCTATAGAACCCGTGTTGCTTTAATAAATACAGACTTTGCTTTTCCTACCACCGAACGTGATGCATTTTTCTCTGTGAAACTAATTTGGAATATAGCTGATAGCTGCTTACACGTTTATTTATAGTTCTCAAGTTGCATTGCTTTGGAGAGAAGTCTCCTGGAAATAGACTGGTTTTGCTTTATGGAAATCATGTTTTGTGATTGACGAGATATTCTGACACAGATTCTCCTGTAGGACTTTCAAGGTATCACCTGTGATTTGGTTTAGTAAATTTAACATATCACAACTTGCTGGTGAACATTTACATAGAGGACCAGGTCATGTCCGTATGGATTGCAGCTGTAAAAGGGTATTTAAATAAGATTATAAACGGCAAACAAATCTGGTTTTTGGTAAGCAGTGTTTGCTATAAAAGAGATTTCCAAGCAATACGCAAAATTGATAAATCAGTATGCAAGCATCTGTTTAGGAAGAAAAGTGGCACTTTGCAAAATTGTTGGCCTGTAGCAAGTAATTAAGTCTATGTACTGCTTTGTTCCTGGACAACAAACCAAACACAACACACACTATAAATAGACCCATGAGTATCAGCTCCTTCTTGTGCCGCATGAAAAACCTGCTTATTATGTGATATAACCTGATTTTAAAGGACAAACAAAGCTCAATTGCACCTCTCCCCCTTCCCTGGCCTTTTTTCCAGGTGTCTTTGATCTGGTCTCATGACAACACAGGATGTCCTTTTTCTCCTATTCTTCCTTTGTGTTTAAAAGTGCTGGAAAAAGTGTTTTAACATGTATGCTTTTAGGACAAAGTAGACTCTGTATGCCTTTTCTGCAATAAAAGCATCCCATCTGCCTTCTAGCAAGTTTGTAAAGATTGTACATTAAAAGAGAACTATAGCCCAACCTTTTTTTGCCATAGTTCTCGTTAAGGTCGCAGGAGGACATTTACTAATGACCTGTGACCAAACTCTTAATATAGAGGGCCACGCAGAGCAACGCTGCAGCCAGGACGGATCCCAACAATAATGTTGGGATCCACCCTGCTGCCTGGTTGACAGTTGGCTCTGCCTCTCTATAGCCAGCACCAGCTGTGCCTGCCCCCAATGAGCACTGGGGGAACAGAGAGGGTGGAGGGGGAATCCCCACAGGGAGCAGTGACTGAAAGTCATCACTCTCTGCAGGGAGAAGATCATGAACTGATCGATCAGCGGTATGTGATCGCTCAATTCTCAATCTATAGAGCTGACATGTGACAGATTCAGTGTCACACCTCGGCTCTAATTATGGGGATGAGTGTATTCCACTCTCTCCCCATAATTCTCCTTTTTAAACCACGCATGCACACTCGGCATGGGATGAATTCCTTCCTGTGTGGGTGCTGGGATGAATTCCTTCCTGTGTGCATGTGTGGGTGCTGGGATGAATTCCTTCCTGTGTGCATGTGTGGGTGCTGGGATGAATTCCTTCCTGTGTGCATGTGTGGGTGCTGGGATGAATTCCTTCCTGTGTGCATGTGTGGGAATTATGTCACCTTACGTCGCCCAGTGAAGATAGTTAAAGATGTGGACTAGAACAACATGTCAGTGCAGTCGAGGAAGAGTGCAAATGTTGCCTCACTGGAGAGGTTGCTTTGGCAGGTAGTAAGTACTGCATACTTTAGTATTGCTTTAGTACCCTGTGGATCAAAACCACTGTCTATTGCAATACACTGGGATAGAAGACCAGGTTTCATCTCTTGTGTAGGTCGCTGCCTGTCTTTGTTCAGTGGCTGCTACCAGCCAAAGTGGTCAGTACATCTTACACCTATGCTGCTCACATGACAACTGAATTTAGCTAATCACTTTCAACATTATAGTACCAAACTCTGATCAGAAGGGATTGGTCATAGGAGGGTGTAAAGTTGACGAGCAATCCATGCATTCTTGTTTAAGTTAGAAGGCATCGTGAGACAGATTTAGGGCCTATTAACACCATAATGTTGTGCTATGGCATGCTTTCTATGTGTTAAGCGCACACCATCACACAATGCAACGCATGCTAGATGTGCCGGTACATTGCATAGCCATTCATCCTGGTGCATACACTACTTTTTTTTAAACACCAGGCAACTCAGTGCATGCTATTGCAGAAGGAGCAATTCGAATGACACCTAGCATGTGCTGCATTGTGTTGTGTGATTGCGTAAGCTAAAAGCAATGGAAACCATGCCTTTAGCGGAATGCTATGGTGTGAATAGGTTGAACATGAGCACCTCAACATTTGCTAATGTCTCATGCGAGATTGAGGCTCTGTTCACACCTCATAGCTAAGTGCGACAAAAAGCTCAAATCAAGGAATCCCATTCATTTCGGAAGCTCCTGTTCACACCTGGGCAGTTTGTTGCACAGTTTCCCATTTGAAGTCTATGGGACCAAAAAGCTCTGAAATCTGCTATAAAGTAGCTCGTGGACTTTTTCCAGCGACAGGCATTTTTCTGCTTGCGACAAAACGTTCAGGTGTGAACAGGAACCATAGAAATGAATGGAATTCCTTGTCTTCAGTGTTTTGCTCTCTTAGCTTTGAACAACAAAATGTATTGGCTACATTGTACCTAGTAGGGAAGTGGCATATCTTTGGCAGTTGATGGATGTAGTAAAGTAAAGGCTAGAAAGAGTTTTGTGGTGTTGTTGTTAATATTTTCTTCCAATGGCTTCTGGGTATTTATGATTTAAAAAATCATTTTTTAGATGATATTTTTGTCTTTATTTACACTAGTTGTTAGTGGTGCTGTTGTATATGGGCTATTTTTTTAGTCGTTCCTTGCATATACTTTTCTTCTTCCTAGTGTAAGATTTTGGTTATGGACTAAAGCACCCTATTAATGAGTGCATTAGACAATGGAAGTTATTTCCATTAACACCGATTGATTGATTGTAAAGGATATCCAGAGATTTGCTGCGTTAGTTGCTATGTGGCAAATTCTTATTTTTCTTGCTCTGGGGTATATTTTATGATTCTGTGCTTGCCCAGTAAGGTGATTGTTCCTCTTTTTCTCATATAAAAAAGGAAGAATCCTCCAGTTTTGACTTAACAGTGTAGGTTTTTTTTTATTTACTCATTTCTCATTGGTATCTTTTAAAGGGAAAGTATTGGGGGATTTTATTGTAGTATTTACCTTAAAATAATTCTTGGTAATAAAAAACAAAAACAAACCTAATACTTATCTGTCTGGCGCCATGTCTTGGATCATCACATTTTCAGATGCTGCAGATATTCAGTTGGTGGGATGAATTGAATACTTGCTTCTCCACAGCATGCCATGGTTACTCCTGTTGGGTCGTATGTCCTGTATTGACGTATGAGCCTCTGGAAGAAACCACTGTGTCAAACAGGGAAAGTAGGAAAGAAAGTGTGTAATACCCGCAGAGGCTGGAAAGCAGTTAATCAGAGGAGTTTCAGGACATGGGCCACCAGATAGGCAAGTATAATGGACCCTGTGGTGACGGGGTCACTTTAAGTCTAAACTGTTATGATGACTTTACCTGCAGTCTGTATTTCCGCTGTAGAGATTGAACTCTCTATTTGTCCTAGTGACCATTGTCACTGGAACCAAAAGTGAGAGGAAATCCAAAATTATGAGTTGCCACCTGAACAGAAATAGAGGGAAAGTTTCCAATGGAGACATTTGTTCCAGTGACAAGTGTTTAAGGTAGGGACGGTATTTCCCTCACTTTAGGAGATTTCTTCTCATTTCTTGTTTTGTGTACAGCACATGACGTGATGGGGAATCTTCCCAATGGGACAGAGATGGCAAAAAAACTGGCAGAGGTTTCACCATCCTCTACTCTATATACCAAAGATAAACTTTAAGGTATATCTGAAGTGCAAACTATCTTGTGGCTTTGGATAGAGGGGGGATAATTTAAAATTTTTTCTCTCTTACTCTTCTCTGTTCCATTGTGGAGATTTCCTCTCCCTTCCTGTCCTGTAGATACAAAGGTAGAAATCCTCAACTGGATAGCTGTGACCAAAACAAGTGTATCTATTGGAAAATGTCTCCTCTATTCCTGTTCTGGTGACAACTGAAAATGTTGTATTTTCCCTCACTTCCAAGTTCCATTGACAGTGGTCACAAGGACAAATATAGTGAATCTTTCTTTTTTTTTGCAAAATATTTTTATTATTTTCCACATTATTAAACATAACAGTGCATGCCACTTGTTCCCGACAAGGGAACCAGGTGTAGCTATGCACCCAAAAAACAATACACCCACACTTAGTCAAAAATAATAAAATAACCGGGAATGAGATCCCTGCATCGAGTCCCGGTGTTGACATGAGATGCATTTATGTTGGTGAATAATCTGCGTAAATTAATATCGGTGGATCTGCGGGGCATGAAGCCAGTTTGGTCCGAGTCTATCAGACTGTCAGTTTGTTAAGTCGTAAATAGTGAATCTTTCTTAATCACAAAATGACCCTTTTATTTTATTTAATATACGCAATACGCTGAATAATAACATTACAATTAGAATGTTCGGCACATACTTTTGTTTTTATTATATGTAAACCTAGACAATATTTAAGTGTTGCCTTAGAACAATATTATTTTCTAGAAAATGATCTACTTACTCCCTTCTCAGCCTGTATTGTCTACCCGATATGCTTGCATTACATGTTTCTAAACGATTAAATTCTTAAATTGTAACATAAAATAAAAAGTAATATATGACCGTTTGCACTAACTTTTTTTTCCCCATTTGAATGCAGTGACTGATGTAGAACTGAAAAGGCTAAAAGATGCGTTCAAACGGACGTGTGGAGGTCCTTCTTATTACATGAGTCAGCAATGCTTCATCAGGGAGGTGCTAGGAGATGGAGTTCCTCCAAAAGTTGCAGAGGTAAGACATTTCAATATTCTTATGTTTTTAAATCCATATAAAAAATACTTTCTTTTACTAGTTAAAAGCTCACTGTAAAACATGAAAGCTTTAGATGATGTATTATTTATGCTGTTTAACCCCACAATAATGGCACAGTAAGTACCCATATACAGGCAGTTATGGAAATGGATGAGGTGTTTCATACAGCATTGATATCCTATGTTTTGGGCTAATCTGACTTCCTTAGATAATCTGTATTCGGGCTCCCCAACATGACACCACTCCTGCTAGTTGCAAAATACTCTGCTCTTTAAAACTGAACTCCAGGTGTACTCCAAACAGCAAAATACACAGTTTAAACACATATAAGTGGGTTGGTTTTCCTGCAAAAGGTTTTGTATTTCTGTCTACCCAGTGTTGAGATGTACATTTAGCCCTACTAGAGACTGCAACCAGGTGGATGACGCCACATACCATTAAAACTGAACTCCCAGGATGAGCAAATATTGTCTAAATACAAGAAGCATTTATATTCTTATGTGAATCTTGGTGTGTGTTTATGTATTTCTTCCTAAGTTGCACAGTAATCCAGTGTGAAACTGTTATTTTGTGTAGGAATTTCCTGTAATAAAGACCAGTCACTGCTGCTCTCCCCTTTTGCAGAGTGGTGGTCTATTAACCTTTGCAGACACCTGAACAGACAGCAACCTTCCTTACATGCATGGGTAAGGGAGGTTGTTTCCAGAGTTCTGCCCTTTGCCTGCATTCCTGTTCATGTCTTGAAACCTTCAATTAACAAATCTCCATATAGCCCTTCCAAGCTTTCTGGATCGAAAAGTTATCTCCCCAGTTACTACAGCAGAAAGGTTTTAGGGTTCTATTACATCCTTTTCACAGATTCCAAAATCTTATGGGGGCATGTGCCCTATTTTGGATTTCAGATCCCTAAATGTCTTTATTTGGTTCCAAAAACTCTGCATGGAATCCACCAGGTCAGTCATAATCTACCTCTATCAGGGAGACTTTCAGACCTCTGTGGCTATCAACATGTTATCATATGTCCAGCACATCAGTGCTACCCTTGCTTTTCTGTGGGTACCCAGCACTTCCATTCATCCTATCTTTTGCACCTTGAGTGTTCACCAATTTTCTGGCCCCTGTAAAAGCAGTCTGTACAGATTCTAGCTGACAATGTGGCACAGACAATTCAGACCTTGGAAAGGTTTGGTTGGATGATCCTGAACCTTCTCAAGTCAGAGTTTTAGTACTCTTGGGTCATATCCTTGACATAGCTCAAGAGTTTTTCTTCCCCAAGAGAAATTTCCCAGACTCTGACTCTTTAGTCCATGACTTCTGCATGAGAGTCCTGGAGTTAATGGCAGCCTCATTCGAGGCAGTCCAGTTTGCCCATTTGCACTTAAGAACACTGCAGCTTAACATCCTGTCATCATTGGACAAGTTAACTCGGTCTCTGGACAAACTGCTTTGCCTGATTCCAAGGGCCAGGTTGTCTCTGGTATGGTGGCTCAGAAGTTCCGGGGTTGAGGAAGTCTTTCCTTCTGATCTCTTGGAAAATCCTCACAATGGATGGCAGGCTGGAGAGGGGTCCTTGACGGTGCAGGGGTATTGGACACAAGAGAATTCCTGTTTCCTCATCAGTATTCTGGAGCTCTGAGCGATCTTGTTGTTTCAACAAGGCTGGACATCCCAACTGGAGGGAATTCCCTTTGCTTCCTGTCCGATAGCCACAAAAGAAAGTGAGATGAAATCCCTTCAAAGTGAGGGAAGTCACATGTGGTCAGCAGGGTAACCAGAAATAGTGCCCTCATTGGAAGATTTCCCATCTATTCCTGTTTGGGTGAAAACCCAAAATTTGGGCTTTTCTTTTACTTTCAGTGATAAGTCACCAAGACAAATAGAGGGGATGATTTCTGTAATGGGGAACAGACAGCAATAGACAGTAGAAAGGCATCATGGCACACTCACAAGTCAGCATGTAAAAAAAACTTGTCTCACCACTAAGGTCAATAACAGAGGTTTGGATACACGTCTTCTGCAGAAAATGTGAAAGCCGCGCCAAGGCACCTCTTATAATGCGGTCCTAACTCTAAACTATGAGAGTCTCCATCTTGGAGCACCTGGGGTCACAAGATTTCAAATTGGGTGCAGGTTTGTCAGGGGGAAGCCCAACCTCCTTAAAGGCACAGGAACACACAAGGGATCCCGCACATCCCTATGGCAGCTGAGAACCCTCATGCGTCACTGCACCAAATCGGTCAAGCAAAACAAATGACAAACGCACTCAACAATTTGTCATCAACTATACAGCAAAGTGCACACGAAATGGGCTTTGAACAGTAGAACAGTAGAAAGGCATCATGGCACACTCACAAGTCAGCATGTAAAAAAACTTGTCTCACCACTAAGGTCAATAACAGAGGTTTGGAAAATGAAAATGTGAAAGCCGCACAGCCGCGCCAAGCCACCTCCTTATAGTGCGGTCCTAACTCTAAACTATGAGGGTCTCCATCTTGGAGCACATGGGGGCATAAGATTTCAGCCAGACAGCAATAGAAACCTGACAGGTGTTCTAACTCCTCTACACTCTATCCAAAACAAAAATGTTTTGGCTTCAGTTGCACTTTAAATGTAAATTCTCTTTGCTCTTGTACTCCCCGCAGATATTTTCTACTAAATTGGCATTGAAATAAAAAAAGTTTGAATTCTTTTCTATGTGGTCACGTGACCACAAAGCTTTGTTACCATCTTCTCTTTCTGGTGTTGATGAGGCTGGTGGATGTGAACTCCCTGCCAGCCGACAACACCCAGGAACTATGGACGCCAGTGCGTGATCTCCCTGCACGCTTTGAAATTCAACAGCGTGTTGGCTGACAGAGGACCACGCAGAGCAGCGGGAGTGTTATGATCACATGACCACTTAGTAAAAGGTATTTAGATGTCAATTTAATAGAAAATGTCTGCGAAGAATATAAAAGCAAAAGGGAATCAACATTTAACAGATATGTAGTTGTGTAGCCTTTCCTTCCACTTTAACTATGTTTGTATTAACCCCTGCAAAAATCTTTAAACCAAATTGCTATCCATTCCTTCTAGCTTCTGACACGTGCAAGCATTCCTCATTCTTCTTTTTTATTAGGCGATATTTAGTACATATAAATCTAATGATTACTTAATAATTTCTCCTTTTTTTTTATTTTTATTATAGTCATGCTTGTAGCATGGGTGCAATATTAGTTTGTGTCTTTGTAGAAATTGTGCTAATGTTTTTTTGCTATGTAGTTCTTTTTGTATCCATGGGTGGTTGCTCATATGTAATGCAATTCATTTGTTTCTTTTATGGCTTCTTACACTATTCCATTGTGAAGTGAATTATATACTTCCCTAAATATCTGAAACAGGCATTTTGATTATATTCTCTGGAGTTTTTCTATATTCCATACAAATCATCCAAGATATTGCTGAAATAAATAGAAACACATTCAGCATATCGCCTGTGGAGCTTTGCAAATGCCTTCTTTATATTTTTATAGATGTTTTAATTGAATTAATCTATCTCACAAGCACATGGAATATGATTTTTGTCATAAGTCCTTCCAAAAAGAGGATAGCTGTAGAGAATTAGCAATAAGGATGGTTAATTTTTTAGCCTAATCTTTCAGTATCTCTTATAAGCTGCTTGATATGGCAATTATTGCTTAGTAAAATAATATGGGATTTGTTTGTTCCACTTTTTTCCCCCCACGAAATACATGATAATAATAAGATGATGATGGATGTTTGTTATTTGCTTGGCCTTAAGACCGTACAGCCCATTATGGTTATGGAGAGGCAGCCGAAAACCCTCTACTACCACTTTAGAATACAAAATAAGTGGATCCTTGCTGAGAGAAATACAAGGAAATGCCATTACTAGTCTCTAGCTGAAACTGCTAATGTTCTAGCCATACATAGCTTCCGTATATCTGTGTGTGATGGGTGGAACAAAATAGACAGAGGTAAAAAGTTTTGATGCTTGACCAAGGGGCTCTTGTTGAAGGGTTTGACATACAGGGGGCTTTATCTAAGGAGTAGACCCCAGTGTAGCAATCTGATACATCAGTGATTGAGTTCAGGGTCACAAGGTACCAATCCAGACATAACAAGGGGCAAGCAGGAACAGTGTACAGCATTACAGAGCAGAGGTCCAGGTACAGCAAGTGGCACGGCACTGTAGAGCATGGAAGCAGGGCCACGCCTGTCTCTGCTGGGATAGTGCAACTCTTGTGGAAGGGAAGTTTGTAGCCTGCATGTGGTGAAACCACATGTAGACACAGCAGGGGTTCAGAGTGTGAAGTGGTGGGATCTACTTGTGGGCACAGTATGGCGGCGGGCTGGAAGTAAGGAAAGCCGTGTGGACAGTTAGGGGGCAAAGCGGTCTGCGTCAATAACTAATACAAGATTTCATAAACAAAAGTCAGGGAACATTTGAATTCTTTCTGTATTCTTTCTGTAATCTCTGTATTACTAGAAAATAGAGCCATTGCTCTAGTATGATAGCTAGGCAGTTAGCATTTTTCAGAAGGAGACATCAGCAATGGCTGCCTGCAAATTACTCTCATTACTGGTTAGGAAAAGTGACGAGACAAATGAAGATCAGCTCTTTATGCTTCCTATAGATATGTCGGCTAGATGTAGATGCACCTGTTATCTCCTTATTTTATAACACTCAGACTTAGTTAAGGCATATAAGCCTTTTTCCACAGAATTTATTGCCAACTTGCAACCTTTGCTATGAAGATGTAACTCCAACATAGTAACTATTTAGAGAATGCTCCAGTATCTCCAGCACATCAAACTTGGTTTTATGCCTTGTTATGCGTATTCAGTATACAGCTACTGTACATGCAGTACAATGAAGAGGATAAGGTGTGGAGGACAGTAACCCATACCAACCTAGTAAATTTCAACCGCTATTCCAAGCAAAAGGTGAAAGCAATCCATAAACTACTAATGATATT